CACAAATAATCCTTTTAAGGCTGTGCTGCTTCTTCCTAACAGGAGTGCTACACATGTACATGGGAGTGGTCCATATACTCCTGTGCCAATTGGCTGCACTCCCACGTCTGGGGTTAGAATTACTCTTTGTCTGGAGGAAAGGTCCAAGCCGGCGCTGTTTGGGGTGGCTCGGACAAGCTGCTCGATAGATAGCTTGTTCCCTGAGGGTACCACTGTGGGTTCAGGGATGTCTGGAGTGCCCTGAAAGCTTGTCTGGTTTGTGCCGGGCCCCGGGGCTGGGCCCTCTTCCCATTTCTTGACTGGGTTGAGGTTAGTGGCTTTCCATCTATATCTGAAGTTGATCTGCATTCTCTAGCCCAATGGGGCCCTTTTCTGCATCGTGGACAGTTGCCTGGAGGTTTCTGTCCCGGGCCTCTTCCCTTACATTCCTTTTTAAAATGTCCTGACTTGCCACAGTTATAGCAGTTCCCTTTACCTTGTAGTGCACCAGCTATGGCTAGCCCTATTTGCTGAGCTTCTGTTACATCTCTGCAAAGCCTCAGGTAGTCAGTGATTTCTCTATGCTTATGTGGTCTGAGGATATTCTGGCAGGCCTTAATTTCTGCTTGTTGAGCAGAGCAGTGTGGAAATGTCCAGGCCGGTGCTGTGGGGTGTGGCTTGGATGAGCCGCTCAATTGACAGCTTAGTGGGGCGTGGACCAATCCCACGGGAGGCTGCAGTGCAGGAGCCCAAGCCGGAGGAGGGGCCGGCCCACAGTGCCTGCTGCGCTCCCTCCTGCAGCCGCTACAGGACCCCCGCCGCAGCTCTAGCTATAGCGCCTCCCACTGCTGCCCGCGCCCCCAGCCTGCCCTCAGCTGCCCGCAGCCCGGTGGTGCGGCTGAGGTGACGGTGCTGCCGCCGGCTGGGGGTGCCCGGGGTAACAGGTGCGCCCCACTGCTGCCGTGGACGCTGCTGTGGAGGCATCTGAGCACAGCAGGTGGTGGCTGGGGGGGGGACCCCAGGAGGGCTGCTCCGTGGAGCTTCATTCACAAAAAAGGGCCCACAACCCTTCTCTGTTTCCCCTTCTATTTCTGCCCTGTTGCTTGTGTCAGGGATCTAAAGGATGAGAGGTCAGGGTATAAGGGCCCGGACACCTGTTCCCCTTCCTCCTGCGATGCTTCAGGAGGATCCTGAGTCCCCTGACACTCGGCCTATGCTCGTTTAAAATCCTCCTGCACTTAACTTAAGTTCCTTTTAAGCGACCTGAGCTGGACGGAGGAGGGCGTCTAGAACCGCTCTCCATAATGAGAATGCCCAGGTGGGAAAGTCTTTTGGTCCCCTTTTCTTCAAGTGCTCTGTGAGATCATGTCTGACTTGTTCCCAATCCCTGGGGTTCAAAGCCCCTCCGAAAGCAAACCACGGACTGCTCTCCTGCACTAAGCTTATAAATTCCTGTAAGGTGGAATTATGGACTTTTATTCCATGCTGCTTCAGCAGCGCCTTAAGGCTGACTGTTAGTTTCCCTTGTTGTCCACCCATTTCGTCGGGCACTGGGGTCGCTAGACGTCTCTCTAGGACTATGTATGGGGGGCAGTGCACTTACCTGATTGCGGACTTATGCGCGCCGCCTCCACGGTCTGAAGACTGTCTCGCTCCCTGTTCCCGGAGCTACACAGATCTCGGTGGGACCTCCACTTGACACTGCCAGACCGGCAGGCGGCGTTGGGGAGTTTGTGATTGGCGTATGAGAGGGAGAAGGAAAGGGAAAGGGTGGACACAATCACACAACCACTCATACAGTATAGGGAGAAGGCTGAGCCGAAGCTGTTTATTTGGGATTGGTACAATCTTATATAGGGTTAGTAGAGGGGGAGTGGTTATGCTGTTCTGATGGGAGGGGCCCTGCGCTGTGCTCTGCGTTTCTGTCTAAGTCTTATACAATGTAGCTACTTCTATCCTGTTTACTTACCAGCACCGGTCTCTTTATTCCGCCTTTTCACGTGGGGGTTGAATTAGGCTAGCACTCCCTCTTACGATGTAGTTTAATATTTCTGTTAACCCTTACAAGAAACCAGTTGTTTGAACTTGATCTAAGTGGATAAAATAATCAATGATTTATTTAACTAAACATTCTTCATGCTGCAAAATGAAGATATCTTTGCCAACATATGACTGAATAATGAAGACTCAAGCAAAAATCCTTGACTCCGAATTTTATACTCTCATTTATGAAGATCATTGATGATTTTGAAATGTTGCCATAAAATAATTTCAGTAATATAAACATTTCTAGGGAGAAAAATAAAAATGGCTTTTCTCAGGAGTATTTTGTTGTGTTTTATCATTTGAAACTATGACTTCATCTGATTAAGATTTAATGTTTTTTTCAGAAACATCACTTATTGTGAAAGCTAATCTTTTTAGACATGAATGAACATGGGCTTGCACCTACTCTTACTGAAATACCTCCTATAATTCCCGTTATCAATGGGGATCCCATGAACGAGGTAAGGGTAAATTTTTTCATTATAACTGGTCAGAATATTCTTGAATGTAGTATTAGTTTTTATTTAGAAAAAGTGTATCCCTTTTTATTATCGATCACTTATTTTGGAAGTTTTTGGCCTTTTCACCAACATTGCTTGATCTTTCTTGTAGGCTTTTTACAATTGCTTGCAACATTTAACACTAGTTTAGGCCACATACAACCTCCTTTGAGATTTATTTAACTGCTTTTTCAGCCTCCCTTGATCAGCTCAAAAATCCTGGTGTTGTGCCTTAATTCTATACTATCCATAGTTTCTTCTGATTCATAGATAAAAATATGACTCTAGTACAAATTAAAATTCCTCCATACTCATTCATAGATATGGGTTCAACTTTCTATTATTTCAAAATACTGTATTTGAGGGTGGCGCCTGAGGCTCAAAGGAGTAGAGCGCCAGCCCCATATGCCCGAAGTGGCAGGTTCAAACCCAGCCCTGGCCAAAAATTGCAAAAAAAAGAAAAAATACTATATTTGAGAATCAGTAACTTTTATGTATAGAATTGTTTTCCATAAATAAAAGAGAGGAAATAGTTCAGATTTAGCATCTGCTCTTTCTTTAAATCATTCTATTCAAGAGAAGTCCTATCTCAATATGTAATGTAAAGAGATCATCACTAACTTTTCTTATCTTCAGTTTTAAAAAGAGCAAAGATTGTACTTCTAGCTTATGAGTTTGATATCATCACATCAAAAGGAACTGAGATTAAAATGACCTTACTAAAATTAAAATTACTTTTTTTTTTTTTACTAGATAGAGAGTTATCATCTAGATAGCACTGTTGCAACACAGTATACTACTAATTATTCACCAATGATGACTCATCCTAATAGATATACCAGATGGCCTTCTTGTCCTCAGTACTGGATACAACAAGTATGTTTAAGTTTTAGCTTAATATGAGTTTTATTTGTCTTTTTCATTTTATAGGTTTTCATTTGGGGGTATTGGGCTTTCTATCTGAATGCACTTTTCTGTGACCTTATTATGTTAAATTTTACTTGGATCTGGGAGGATCTGATCTTAAAAAGGGTATCGAACTTCTAAGTTCCCTTTGATTCAATTCTTGTCTCTTTTAGCATTTTGAGACACTCAAAATTAGTGACTCTGAATATTATTTGGAAACACAATATTTTTTCATAAATTAGCAGGAAAGTATATCATCAAAGAATTATTTATTTCTAGATAATATTGGTGCAAGTTAACCCTGGGGAGACCCTCACCATCAAGTCTGATGATGGGAACATTCAGAATATTCAAGGTTAGTTAAAGTGTAATTTGATGTATATTATTTGAAATCAAACACAGTGAAAAATATTAGCATGAAATTGCTTTACTAGCAATTGGTATATATACCAGGTATATATAGATAGATAATAGCAAATGGATAGCATATAGAATTGTTTCAGTAGTAATATAAAATTAATAAATACTTGCTTCACATAGCTTTATTATTTTTTCAAAGTGAGATGATTATTATTGATTTTATGCCAATTATTTTTATCCTAAAGTGATTTTGAACTATATCTGAAGAATTTCTAAAAATTCATCAAACAAAGGCTTTCATATGGCTACTATATAAAGTTTATCACAAATTCATATTCATTATTTTCCCATTATTAAAACTAAATTACTATTCTGGGACTTGAAAGTGGCATATATTTTTAGAATAGAGCACTAATTATAGTAATTTCAGATAAAAATAACATATCAAAGTTTCCATTTTGTGTTTTATGTTTATTTGCAATAAAATCATATGTTTAAAGACAGTAAGAATACCTTATATAAAAGTAGGGCATAACATAAGGAGTGTTGAGTCCTTTATTACATGCTATTTTCTAAAAACATTTTTACTATGCTCACTTTATCAGCACATATACTAAAATTGACCAATACAGAGAAGATTAGCATGGCCCCTCCACAAGGATGACATGCAAATTCATGACATGTTTCATATTTTTATGAAACCAATAGAAAACAACTACATGCCCACATGAAAGAAAAACACAAATTCCTGTGGGGTGATGGGGATGAAGAGGGATGAAGATTGGTAAGCTCTCATTTAATGGACACAATATAAAGGCATGGGGCACACCTCCTGGGTGAAGAACTAAACTATAACTTGGACTTTTCCTGATAAATACAGTGTCACTTAGTCATTTGTACTCTGGTATTATTTATCTAAAATTTAAAGAATAAATAAAATCCTTTTTCACTTTACTATTTTTGGTGGGAAACTTTAAATGAAAAATTACTTAAGTTCTATTAGGTAATGTCATTATAAAATATTTTTTAGGTTACAAAGTGAAACTTTTATTACTCAATATATAACCATGATAGGTAAGAAAGAATCAACAAGTAAAATTACAATTATACCAGAAAGCTTATAGTTCATTTTTATTAGCAGTAGGACCAACAATTTTTATAAATTTTACCCAGTACTCAGTATATGCTTTAATTATTTTCCATGGATTGTTATGGATTTTTATTGATTCATCTATACTCTGACCAAGTCTCCTTTGTGAGTAAACAACATACATTTTCAAAATGGCTGAATATTAAGCTTGAAGGTGTGTGCAAAGTCAACTGGCTGATGTAATGGACTTTGTTTAAAGTTATTAAGGTATTTATTAATAATAATTCTCTTTCAGGACCTGCCGATGTACCGCTGATGTCACCAAGTGGCACTTTGCCACCAATATATCTTCCTAATGGCTACATGTCTCAGGTATGCTAATATGGTTTTTATTTGGTGTTTAGCTCTTAGTTATCATTCAACATTGTTCATATGTCAGTCTGTGATAAGAGGACTTCTGGAATACTATTTATTAATTCACTTTACTGTTATCATCACTGCTAAAAAGAAACTGCTTTTAAATAAATCTCTAAAACTCATCCTCCCTAAGATAGTCTTGTAAATGATATCTAATTCATCTAATGAATTCGGATCTCTTCATATTCATTAATCTTCTTCTTCTTTTTTTTTTTTTTTTTTTTTTTTTTCTGGGTACTTTAACCTGTCTTAATTTTTTATTAAAATTGCTTCGGCAATTACTTTTGTAGTGTGTGTGCTTTAGTTATTAAAATTATATTTTCAGTTCAGCAGTATGTCATTCTCAGTATTTCATTCTCACTTAAGAAATTCCTGGAATGTTGATCAAGCATCTAAAATGGGTAAGGAGGTATGGCTTCTATGGAGATTAATCAAATAACCCACGGCCTAAGAAATTTTATAATGGACAATATGTTTTTTTATGCTTCTTTATAGTTTTTGCCTTAGTGGTTTATTTGTTTATGTCTATTACACAGCTATGGAGATGATGAATACGCTAAATAAGTCAATACAATATGGTTTAATTCTAAATGGATTATCTATTGGGAAATATCTAATAAAAATACTAATGAATATAACTTCTCTCCAGAAATTCCACTTTAAGAAATTTATCCTACAGACATATAGTCACAATTTTTGAATAACGAATATATAAGTTTATTCATTATAATACCATTTGTAATCACAAAAGTCTGGAAACAACCCACATGCCTAAAAGAAAAGGAAAAATAAAAATTTGCATTGTTATTTGTTTATATAGACATAAAGACATTCTGGAAGAATTCTAGAAACTAAGAACAGTAGTTATCTCCTCAAGATATTTTTCTGAGCATCTGTTGAGCAGATGAGAGTTAAATGGGAAACTTAATCATACACTTCTTTATACTTTATCATTTTGAACCATGTCAATATATTATCTATTATCAAAAATAACCCCTTTAAAACCAATATACATGGGGAAAAGGAAGAATTATCTTACCTTCTTGACATTATAGTATGCTTTAGTTTTCTGAATTAAGAGTATATGATATAAATTCAAAACTTAATTGAAAAAATATTATTTTTATGAATTCTAATATACTTATATGATTCTGTCTTCCATCTTAGGTAGTGGAAGAGAATGGGATTCGCAAAATTATTATTGTGCCTCAGACAATTGACTATCACACATCCATGCCTGCTCCTATGCAACAATTATCTCACTTCATAACATCATCCTCTCCTATATATCCACAAGCCCCTCTGTTGATGTATCCCCCAGCTCAAGGGGAATTTCCACCACCTTACATTCAAGAAACTATGCCAAAGCAGCTGCCACCACCACCACCACCACTGTTGACAGCATCACCAGCAACATTTATATACCAAGATCATCATGGTAGTATATATTTTTTTAAACAATAAATACCTTGATTTTATTAAAATTAGTGGCTTTGGAGAATTATTAAAATAAACAAAATGAAAGATATTAACAGTTCCATGAATGATTGCATTTTGTGCATATATGTTATCCTTAGGTAGTGGAAGAAACCTAAGAGATAAATATTCAGCAAAACACTCATTAAACAGAACTTTCTATAAATATTTGCTTTACTTTAATATAGCATGTGATTTGTGATGCTCATTTTTAGTGGACTGCATCTATAAAATCATACTGAAAAGCCATTTTTAAATGTCTTAAATTTTTAATGCCCTGTACCAGGAATATAAAAGACAGTGGAGGGTCAACATTAGAGTAATACTAAGACCTTAAAATTTGGAAGTTGAGTTACTACCCAGGAAAACACTATATTTTCTTGTGTTTTTCCTTGGTACATATCATTACATTATAAACACACACATATGTAATGACTGTTTTAAAGCAAAGTAGAAAAAAAGGTAAAACGTGGCTTAGCAATGTTCCTTTTTTGTTGATAAGAAAGACCTTGAGAAATGTAATTATTATAATTTTTAAACAATATTCAATTGTCTCTTTTAGAAACCTATTCACACGGAAGAGCAAATTATAACCAGTTAGATGAAAGAGCTGCCAAAATGGGAGAACATACAAAGAAAAAAGTGAGAGAACGCCAAGTTGGTGGACATAAGAAGAGCTATATGGTTAACAACACCTCTTTGCTTGTGAACAAAACCAATAATTTTTCCAGTATTTCTGCTACTCCAAGCACTTCCACTATGAACTATGCTCCCACTACCTACAGTGTTGACAATACTTCAGGCATTTATGCTATAGACAACGATCCAAGCACCTACACTGTTGACAATACTTCGAGTACCTACACTGTGGACAATGTAAACACTTATGCTGACAATATTCCCAATACTTACGCTGTTCACAAACATCCAAGCACTAATATTTTTGAGAAAACTCCCAGTAATTCTTCCACTGACCATGCCCTTAGCACTTCACTCATAGATTCTACCTTGGGCCCTGCCACCACTGATAGAGTTCTGGGCCCTTCTAGTACTAATTATGCTCTAAAGACTGCCATCTGTGATAAAACTCCTAGGCAATCAATAACTGACTGTACTCCCAGACCATCAGCTATTGACAGTACTCTAAGCTCTTCTGTTTCTGACAGTGCTCCTAATACTTCCATCTCTGAAAATGCTCCCAGTACTCCTGCCATTTATAATGCTTTCAGTACTTCCAATAATGCTCTCAGCATCTCCAACATTGTCAGTGCTCAGGTTGAAACTAGTCATGGAAAGAAACACACAGCTGCAAGAGGTGAAAACATCAAGCAGAAATCAGGTAAAAAACAAAACAAGAGCCCATCACCAAATGTGGCAGAAAAAGGTAAGATCAGGAGTTTGGTTTTGTTGCCTGTGAATAAACATTCTAAACATTAGTTTAGGAATCTAGTGTACTTTTAATATTAGGTGCCATTTTCTACTTTCATTTCCTCTTGTATTCTTTATCCTCTTACTTCTACTTTTTTATATTTTATTATTAATATTCTCTTTTATTGACAAATCATAATTGTATACATTTATGGGGTACACTGTGATGTTTTAACACATGTATACCACGTAGAATGTTCAAATAAAGATGATTAACATATTCATAAACTCACTTACCTATCGTATCTTGTGGTAAGACATTTGGAATTTACTTTTTTAGTTATTTTGAAATATACAATACATAATTATTGAGACTATAATAATCACCTTTCTGTGCAATAAATCTCAAAACCTGTTCCTCTTATATATCTGAAACTTTGTACTCTTTGATCAACTTTCCATTCCTTCCCTCTCACTATCCCCAGTCTGATAACCATCATTCTACTCTCTACTTGTATGATTTTAACATTATTAAATCCTACATGTAAGTGAGATCATGCTGCATTTGTCTTCCTGGACCCGGCTTATTTCACTTAGCATAATGTCCTCCAGATTCATCCATGTTGTTGCAAAAGATAGGTTTTTCCCTCCTTTTTAAGGCTTAGTAAGTACAAAAAACACAATTAAGCTGCCTTCTAATATCATGAAGAAATGATTCCTCATACATATAATTTGTTCTAGTTACATGCCAGTGAAACATTGCAAATTACTCCATGATCCAAAGTTTACATGATTGTATTTAAATTGGGTACTTTTGTTTATCTTTTGTTAGAATTTATTAGTACATGCTTTAGATTTCTCTTTTAAATCTTTCAATGTGAATTGCTATTAAGTGTATAGTAGATCTCTTGAAGATAATATATTTATAGCTGATAATAGACATCTAATTTCCTTCTCTTGGCTTTATTAATGTAATATTTTGTATGGGGTGCTTTTTTTTACTTTTAGAATGCAAAATAGAAATTGGAAAGTCATGCTGTTTCAACATTGAGAAACCTTCAGTAAGTAAAGTGAATATTTACAGATTCCTTTGAATTAACTTTGTCAATATAAAACATGCAAATTCACCAGTACTTTTCTCTAGTACAGTTGTAGTTTGAAGCCGTTAACTGGTTAAAGCTTTCAGCAATTCAATAAATAAAGATTCAGTTTAATATTGTTAAGGATAGGATTAATGGTTCATTATTTAATCACAATATTTAAGCACCTAAGATGACAACATATTTAGCATTGACTAAGACTTATCGAAAGACTACATCATAACTTACAGATTATAGGTTTTAAGTACACTATTTCAATTTTTGTTATTTTAGGTTTCTGATATTCAAACAAGATCTGCTGTTATTTCATGGAATTGGTATAATTCTGAGAAATGTGACCATACTAAATCTCCTGTAACATTTGAATTGGCAATATCTAACAGTGGTAAAAATGGAAAATATAAAAATGTTTATATGTAAGTCTCTTTTTAATAATTTCTTGTATTCAATTTGAATATGCTCTGTAAGCATATAGTCCCAAACTTACCTAGCCTAAGTTCTAAAGCTTTTTCTGCAATTTATTTTTAAACTTGAAATGCATTTTTCTACAGAAATATTTTTCTAAATGGTGGCAGGTTACCAAGCCAGTCAACAAAATTCAGTGGATCATAAGTATATTAGAGTTTAGAAAGATCTTAAATATCTGGTCCATTCATTCACTTCAGTTTATAGACTTATTATTAGGCAAGTTTAGACTGAAGGAAGAAAAGATTCTCTCCAATTCACCTTTTCATTTTTTACTTAGAAAGTATCATATAATGGTAAGGCTTTGATTACACGCTCAAGGTATTTACATTGCAATGGTAATTTAAAACTTGGGCTCTCTGAATAAATTCATTAGAGAAGCTAATTATAAGGTCTAAGCTATGATATCAAGATGAACTTAGAAATGTATTCAAAAGACAGAAGCAGGATGCTGAGAGGGAAATACCAACAGAGTAGGATACAGAAAGAGCACAACCAGCCACTCCAAAGAAACTTCTGGACTGAATAGAAATGCAATCTGAAAAACAGCAAACTAAGAGAAGTACTATGAAAATGAAATGCCAAGTGGTGGAGAAAGAAAAATTCTTATGCCCACAAAACAACTAGAACATAAGTAGTTCAGAAATAGTGGAGTTGCCTGCATGATACTATAAAATATAACACATCTTAAAATTTATCTCCTAGAATTTGTCATCTTTGTTCAGAGACTCAAAATGATGATTTTAATTAGCTATATATTGTGTAAAGATTTTTTTTTATAATTAGCAACTAAAATTTTTTAATTTAAGAATTATAATACATGATCTTCTACATTAGGTAGGGGAATATGAATACATCAAATGTGTTGAAAAGCTATTTATAAAATTAACTTTACCAGATGTGATGGCTCATGCTTGTAATCCCAGTGACTCTCATGGCTGAGGCAGAAAGATTTCTTGAGGCCAGGAATTCAACACCAGCCTGGGCAAGATAGCAAGATCTCCATCTTTAATTAATAAAATAAAATAACTTTTGAGTAAATATACATGGTGATCTTTCTCTAAAATTATGCCCTTTACAAAAATCATTATTATTTTTATAAAATTGATCTTGCCTGTTGCTCTGATCACCTTAAGTGGCCTTTCCTCAGAAGTATCAGCCTTCACTTAGAAATATTAATCTTTTGGGCAATACCTGTGGCTCAAAGTAGGGCACTGGCCCCATGTACTGGAGGTAGCAGGTTCAAACTTAGCTCTGTCCAAAACTGAAAAAAAAAAAAAAAAGAAAGAAAGAAAGAAAAAGAAAGAAAGAAAGAGAAATATTAATCTTTGAGCTTTTTTGGAGGATATTTTAGGGTCTAGAACTTGATGGAATTTCTTCAGGTGGTAGAGTACACCTAAGTCCTTGTGACTATTTGCTCAGGAAGATGTTGGTGTGGGAGTACAGTCACTCTATTCACCATAGCAAAAAGTGCCCACCCAAGATAAATTGCTCTGTGTGACTTAATGAATAACTTCCATGTTGAATTGTGTCTTTGAAGCTTTCATGTCTACACTACTCAAAATAAGCTAATTAAAGGCAAATTTGTACTGTTATAGTACAAAGAATATGTAGTAGTAAAATGGAAAATTTTCATTTCTTAAAGCTCTATTAATTTGGCACACAAATGAAGTATTTTGAATTATTAAATCACTATTTTGTATGAATATAAAAGTAGTTAAAGTTATCCGAACTCTAAGGAGAATTTACTTCTATTTTTGCCATTGAATATATAAAATTAGGACTCATTACTGAGTTTTTAAATATGTGAAAGATCCATTATAAACAAATGTTATCTTCACAGTGGTGATGAAGTTACATTTACCCTACTTAATCTACAACCATCCATGGCCTATTTTTTAAGGTAAGAACTCCATCCTACACAACCTACCCCTACCCTGTATCCAGCCAGACTCCTCAGTCTGTAACAGTTCACTACTTATAATTTATATAGTCATCCCTACTATTTTCCAGCCCTGTGGCCTTTCATTAATGATTCAAAACAATATACCTCCGAATCCAGCATTAGTTCACTTTCATTTAGAACAAATGAGAGGTACTTTGGGAATCATTATAGAGAATCTATTCAACTTTGCTCTATTAGTATATTTTTTTAAAATTAGCTCCTAGAAAATGTGTATGGAAGTCCATGTTTGCAATGTAGTACATATATTTTGATAAATATTTAAAAGCTTGCAATAATTGTCATTACATTTTTAGAGTCACAACCATAAGAAGCTCAAAACACAGAACTATGTCTGAAGTGGTTAGCTTTACAACCCCAGGTTGCGAACCAGACCCTCCACTTCCACCCAAGCTGATTAACCGATCAAAGAGCAGCCTGAATTTACAGTGGAAAGTAAGACTTTTACTACCACAACAACCTAAACATGTTTTCATAATTTAAAAACACTTTTTGTACTGTTTCTTGAATTTTAAATATGGAATTATGCATGCCTCATCTGACCTAAATCCTTAGCCCTTTTTCTTCTGTATAATAGTCTCTCTTTTCTGTATTGATACCAAGAACCAAGTAAATTGATAAATGTTAATAAGATTTTAATAATTATTAAAAGTTGAATTATCCATTTCTATAACCTAAATTTAGTTATTTATAACTGTAGTTACTAACATCTCCTCTCAATTTACTTAAGCCCTTTTTTTATTGTATACTATTTAGAAAATATAACAAAACAGAATTTGGGCATTTTTTAGAATGTAAAGAGCGAATTTTGACTTTAAAATCTGGATTGCTTCAAAACCAAACTATAAACAGTTTAATTTTACAGTAATTTATACCACTTTAAATGTATATACATATATACATATCATATAAATACACATACATAAATTTAGCATATTTGTGTTACTTGTAAAAACGGCCCATCATAATTTAATTTTTCTGATATTTTTAGGGTGCCAATGATAATGGTTCCAAAATAAAGAGCTTCCTTTTGGAATGGGATGAGGTATACAGTTGTATTTTTTAAACCACTTATTTTTGAATGATTATTGTTATGAATTTTTGTTATTAATTATAACATTTTATGACATTCTAATATTTTCTGTCTATTATTAAGGGAAAAGGTGAAGATTTTAAAAGCTGCTATATAGGTACCATGAAACAACACAAGATCCTTAAACTGAATGCCTCTACAAAATATTCATTCAGATTAGCTGCCAAAAATAACTTTGGCTTGAGGTACATTGACTTATTTGCAATATTTAAAACTCTATACTTTAATAAAACACTGAAGCTAATATTTTCATCTTATTTTTCAGTGATTTTAGTGAAATTGCAGTCTTCCATACCTCAGGAACTATGCCTCCAACACCTTTACCTCCAAAGCTAAAAGAAGCAGGAATCTGTAATTTGCTGCTAGAATGGTGTGCCCCAGCTAACAGAGACCCAAATGGCACTCTAACTTATGTATTAGAAATGGATGAAGCAGGATCTGTAAGTTTTCTTTACATATATTTTAATCATCTACTTCAGTTTTAGTTTTTTTTATAAAATTTACACTTGAAAATATTTTAAATTTGATTAATTTGTTTTCTATTCAATTCAGTCAGAAACTGAATATTTCCTGATTCTCTGTGTTCTAGATGGGAACAATACAAAGCTAAGTTTAGACAGGCCTACACAGGGCGATCTGAAGGTACCCAAGTCCCTGCAAATTAGCTAGAGTCAGCAGTATCCATAACTATAGCATAGAGACTCAGAGAAATGTATCAGTTCTTCAACTTTGGACCTATACCAGATAACCTTGGGTGATTACACAGATCTTGAGCACCTCAACATAATTCTACCCTTTCCTCATTTCCCTGGATTCCTGATGTAGATGAGCATCTGTTTCATTCCATTGTGAACTTTCAAGTCTATATTGAATATCTTAACTTATAAAACAATGTAATTTTTATGTATATTTTACCCCAATTTAAATAGAGTAGCTCTCATTAAGAAGTGTTCTATGTTGCAAGGAATATGCTAAGTACTTTCACACACATTATTACATTAAATCCTAAGAAATATTAGTCCTTCAACATAGAAATTAGCTTCATTTTCTTATATAGAGACATTAAAGGGACTTGCTCAGAATCACCCATATGGAAAATAAGTTAAAATTAGAACTTGAACCCAAGCCTTCCTGATTCCTAAGTTTATTGCCTTTCATTTCCAGGGGTTAGGTTTTAAACCTAAATACAATGGAGAAGATCTCTCTTGCACTGTAAGAAATCTTCAAAGAAGCACTACATATAAGTTTAGGGTATGTGGTTACAATTTATATATTTCTAATATTTTAACATGAAATATTCTCTTCAATAGAGAAAAATGAGTGGCTTTGTTTTATTTTTTCTCCCTTTATCGAGTCATATAGACATAGATCAAGAATACATTTATGCATTTGTGAGGTACAATGTGTTGATTTTTTATATATTTTGAGTGCTTACATCAAACTAAGCAACATAGCTTTCACCTCATTTAATTAATTATTATGTTAAGACATTTATGTTCAATTCTTGATAGATTTGGTTTGTACCTTTGCCATATGCTCCATAGGTGTGGTCCCACCATTTACCCTCCCTCTCTCAAACCTCCCCCCTCCTCTCCTACCCTCCCCACTTCTCTCCTTTATCCTGGGCTATAGTTGTGATCTATCTATCACAAGAAAGTGTGAGCAATTATAAATTGGCTTCACAAAAGTACTGAGTACATTGAATACATTTTCTTCCATTTCTGAAATACTTTACTAACAATAATATGTTCCAGCTCCATTCACATAAACATAAAAGAGGTAAAGTCTCCATCTCTTTTTAAGGATGCATAGTATTCCATGGTATATATATACCGCATTCCTGGGTCGATAGGCACTTGGGCTTCTTTCATGACTTGGCAATTATGAATTGAGCTGCAATGAACAATCTGGTGCAAATATCTTTGTTTCAAAGTGACTTTTGGTCTTTTGTATATACACCTAGTAGAAGAATTGCAAGATCAAACGGCAGGTCGACTTTTAGATCCCTGAGTGTTCTCCAAACTTCTTTCCAAAAGTAATGTGTTAGCTTGCATTCCCACCAGCAGTACAAAAGTGATTCTCTTCTTCCAAATCCACACTAACATCTGTAGTTTTAGGATTTTGTTATGTGAGCCACTTTTTTTTCCATTTTTTTTTT